ATCTCCAATCAACTAACACCACTCATAGTATGACGCACAAATCTCCAATCAACTAACACCACTCATAGTATGACGCACACATCTCCAATAAAATGTGAACCACTCACAGTACTCAAAACGGACCTCACCAATACACTACAACCCTTCATAATACATATATCCAATACAATAAGACCACTGTTACAACTACTTCTCACAACGCATTCTCCTCTAAAAAAAGATCTCTCATGGTACTTACGAAACACCTCTCCAATAAATAAGTTCAGTCATAGTACTCACTACGCATCCTTGCAATAAAATAAGAACACACACACAGTACTCACACCATTTACCTGTAATAAAATAAGACCATTGTTAGTATTCACACCATTTACCTGTAATAAAATAAGACCATTGTTAGTACTCACTACGCATCCTTGCAATAAAATAAGAACACACACACAGTACTCACACCATTTACCTGTAATAAAATAAGACCATTATTAGTACTCATAATGCATCTCTAGGAAAATAAGACCCTGTTACTTTTTAAAACGCACCTTCCTATAAAAAAGAGCTATCTTAGTACGTAAAGCATAGCTGTCCAATAAATGTGTCCATTCATAGTATTCACATTACATCTATGCAATACAATAAGACCACGCATAGTGCACAAAAACAGTTCTACTCATAGTACTTCCATCACATCTTTCCAATAATAACTCATGATACTCACAATACACATCCTCCTTTAAATAATAATTCATTGTACTCACAACTTATATCCTTTAAATAATATAAAACCTCTCATGGCACTCACTACACACATCGAAAATAAAATAAGGCCCCTCATTGTGACCACCCTTTAAATACAATAAAACCACTCACAGTACTTAAAACACATCTCTAACAACCTAAGACTATCGAAAGTGGTCACAATGCACCTCTCCAATATAATAAGAACCTTTAGAGAACTCCCAACACAACTATTAAATACAATAAGACCATTCATATTTATCTCTCTTATAAAATAACCACTTACAATTCATACAGCATCCAAAATATAAGACCTTTCCAATAGCATAAGACCCTTCATAGTTTTCACAATGTTATGCCCCCCAGTGGCACAGCGGTATGTCTGCGGACTTACAACGCTAGAAACCGGGTTTCGATACCCGTGGTGGGCACAGCACAGATAGCCCATTGTGCAGCTTTGTGCTTAACTTCAAAACAAACAAACTCACAATGTACCTCTCCAATACAATAAGATCCCTCACAGTACTCACAACATCTCTTCCTCCAACAAATAAGACCATTCATAGTATTGTTACGTCTCCGTTTGTTAATTAACTTTCCGTAACTTTG